ATAATAATAATATAATAATAAATATATAACTATATAAATAATATACATTAAATCTATTCTAAATAAAAAATACAGATGTACATATATTAATACATAATAATAATAATAAATATAAAAATACATAAAATACAAAAGAAAAGAAAAAAAATAATACAGGATGAATTGACTTACCATTTTTATTAGCCAATTGATCTGTATGCACCCAATTGGTTCTACAATAAATTCGTTTATTAAAATTAAATCAATTAATTAAAAAAATCATAACAGAACAAAAAAAAGGGATATTTTTTTACTACGTGAAGGAAAAATGATGAAAAATTTTTTTTAACTATTTATATACGAAAAATAGAAAACAACATGTTTTAAATAAAGCCAAAAAGACATCGTTTTTTAAGCCCATGATCTCGCGTTCAGCCCGTGACTGGCAACGCTCTCTATTAGTTTGACCGTATAAAATTGAATACCAGAACTAAAATTTGAACTAACAGAAAAACCAGACAAGCTGAACCAAAATTAAAACGTCGAAAACCGTCAAGTACTATGCGAAAAACATTTTTCTCAACTAAAACAATGTTGATCAGTCTGGTTCAAGTAAAAAAAATTTTTTTTTTCAATTTTCTAATTTTTTATATATTATTATTTTTGTTATTTTAAGTATTTTTTTATATTTATGCATGATAAGTTTTAAATTTGTTATGATAAGTTTTAATTGTTTTAATAATAATAAAAATGAAAATAAGTAAGATAATGATTAAAATATATATATATTAAAAATGCTTAAAAATAATAATAATAATAAAATAATAATTATTATTATTATTATTATTATTTCTGCCTAGATGTTAGAGAAAATAAAAAATATTTTCTTAAAGAAATAATTCCGTCTAGATGTTGGGGAGTTATTATTAATATATTTTTATAAAGAGAAATATATAAGAATTTTTTTATTAATTTTTAAAAATCATTAAAATCAAATTTGCTCCAAAATCTGCCTAGATGTTAGAGATTTTTAGAAATGTTCGTATTTTCTTAAAAATGAAACCTTAAACACTAACCCTAAAAATCCAAAATCTCTTAAATCTAAACCCATAAAATCCGAAACCCCTAAAATCCAAACCCTTAAATCAAAACCCTAAACCTTTCATATCTTAAAATTCAAGCCTTAAAATCCTCTAAACCTTAAAACCAAACCGTCAAAACCTCTACTCAAACCCTTACTTAAAACTTTCTAAAAATCCTAAGGACACGTGTAAGAATCCCATTTGAAATTATTTGTTCTCGAATGCTGCCTAGATGATAGGGTATTTAGGAAACTTTATTTCATTAAGTTTTTCATACGAGTTCTTAATTTTTTTTAATAATAAGATTAATGAATAAAAAGTATAATAGTAAATTGGGATCTTAAATATAAACAGTCACACCTAAGCTCTGCCTAGATGTTGAAGAGTCGGGGTGATTTCATTATACTTAAGAATCCAACTTTAAAATTGCATCTTATCCTACATAACATTCATTGGCATACATACGTTAGCATGTTATTATTAGAGATTATTTGTATTATTCTGTCTTTAATTTTTATTTACTACTTGGTAATAAAATAGTTTATAATAAAAAAGAATAATACATTTTTAAAAAAAAATTGATATTATAAAATAAATAAAAATAACATTCCGAAAGAAATAATTTTTTGTACTCTACCTAGATGTTGGAGAGTCACCAATAATTTTCTATTAAAAGTGTTATTTCATTTTAAGGATTATTGTGTTAAATCTTAAGCGAAAAGAGTTATTTTAAATTTTGCCTAGATGTTAGAGAATTTTAAGATAATTCTTTAACTTAAAAATTTTCTTAATATTTCTAAATAAAAACTTTAGCAAAAATATTTTTTAAAACGAAGGGAATTAGTATTAAATTTCAAGTCAAAACCATTTTTATCCAACACCGAAAATAGCGCATAATTAAATGGTACCAATTTATGGGCGTTGTGAGGGTGTTAATCCTTCCTCACATGTAACCAACTCTCGAACCCAACCTGATTTTTCGTAGACCAAAATTTATCTTTTTGATAAACTTTAAACCCGTATTTATAGTTTTATTAAAAAGATAAACTTTTGGGTGACCAATCACACTCTAACAAAGATTGGTGATGACTCCCTTTTATTTTTCTCGATTTTAAAATCCATTACGTCTGGCGGTCTCAAAACCGTTATGACAAATATCATACTAACAGACTTCTACCACGTGTAAACAAAAATGAAAGAAGTTTACTATATGATAGATTTGAAAAAGGCAATAGAAAGAAATTTTGACTCTGATATCATATTGTGTATCAAATTCAAAGCTAATTGGTAGTACATGAGGAGGTCAAACTTGAATATAAGATTACAAAAAAATAAATATTCACTAGATGTAAAATAACATCAAACTAACAGTCATTAACATAAGCTTTAGAAATATGGGAGTGTTCTTGCTATTTTTCTAGCAAACATTATCATTTCCTCAATAGTTTTCTCCTTATGGTACCCATGTTTCTCTTGGATTCAATGTCATGAAAAGTGTATGCTTTTTGTTTTCTCATGATTGTATCAGAATTTTGCTTGCTTTTATAAACCATGCATAAATCTACAACCTTTGCTTATTTGTAAAGGATTAGCAAATGGATTGAAAAGGTCGGTTCGGGTTCGAGTTCGGATCCGGCATTTGATAAATCTTTCTTAAACCCTCGGCCTTGGTTACGGGGTCTCATTTGAGGAGTTAAAACGATATTTGAAAAAATTGTCTTTGTTTAGGTGCAAAATATTGTTTGATTTAATTTATAATAACATCGTACAATTATTTGTAACATGTAACATTGTGTGAAATTTAAATTTTAATATATTCTTAACTGCTTTTTATTTATGTTTTGTAAAAAAAAAAATATTGTTTAATTAGCATTAATTAACTCAATTTAATTATAATTACTCCTTAAAATTCAATTAGTGCAATTAACTGGTAAGAAGATTTTTTTAGCTATTGTATTTTTGTCGGAAAGAAGAGGACTCGAGAAAAAATATTTTTTTTTTTGAAAAGGTATTATCTTTCATCGGAAAGGGAGGGATAAATATATGAATATAATAATAACTTCCATAAAAACATTTTATTAAAACATTAATCCTATTTATAAAATTAGTAAATACCCTTTTTTAGAATTAGTACATACTTATTATTGTTAGGCAAATAGTTCTGTAAAATGAAGAACAAAATTAAAAGCTTATTATAAGATAGGGTCAAATCTTGAAAACAAACAAAATAAATGAAATAAAAAACAAAACCCATTTGATTTTTTTTCTTTGCTTTTGATCCGTTCAACTCAAGTTTAATTTTAAATTAGGATTAGATCCGTGTTTCACTATGGAACTATTTTATTTGTTTAAATTATATTTTAAATATGAAAAAAGTAAAATCTTTATATCAAACTTTAATGAATGATAATATATAAATAAACATAAGTGTATTTATTTTTATTACAAATTATATTTTAATTATATATAAATATAATTTTTATTAAATTAAGATATTAAATAATATATTTATTAATAATATATATAAATTAAATAAATAATAAAAAATATCATACTATATATTCTGAGGAGGGTGAGATAGAACACCCCAAATTGGATCTTAACTTGACTTAAATTGTTCAAAAAGGTAAAATTTAACCCAATTTTCATTAAAAAAAATCCATCAATTGGACCATAAGAAATTAAAACTTATTGGATATATATTATTTTATCATTTCTACATCTATGAATTTTTTTCTTTATAAAATTTATCAAATAAATAAAATTAAAAAAATGGGATGCACATGAATTTATTAAATTAATATATTAAATAATTTTTTTTAATAAAATACATATATAAATATAAAATTAAATAAATAATAAAAATATATTTTTTATCCATTCTAAGGCAGAGGTGTAATACCCAACCAAGCTCGATTTAAAACAACATAACCTAATTATCTAGAATTAAAAAAAGTGCACTAATTGGATTGGACCGAATCAAAACTCATTTTAAATGAGTTTTTTTGTCATATTTATCATAATTGACTTTTTATTATAAATTTATCTAATAAAAATATAAAAGTAAAAAATTAAAAAGGTAAAAGTTTAAAAAATTCAAAGAAAATGAAATAAATAAAAAAATGATGTGCTATATGATCATTCGAAACAGGATGAAATATTTTAAATCTACTTTCAATCTAATCCTATTTTCAGAAAACGGACTTATATGGATTTGTGCGAATCTAAATCAACGAGATATGAATTGTTCTATCATTTTTATTTTTATTGATTTTTTTAAAATTTATTTAATAAAAAATAAAATTAAAAATATATATAATAAATCTAATAAAAAATATTTAAAAAAATTAGAGAATAGGAGAACGGACAGTGCTATGTGAATAATTTCACCTTCATTCTTTACAAAAAAATTTAATAAGATGATTTTCTATATAAAAAAAATTCTCAAAATTACACTCTCTTTCAACCTTAAACTCAATTTAATTATAATTACTCCATAAAATCCAATTAATGTAATTAACTTAGAAGATTATTATTATTATTATTATTTGTTTTCGTTAGAAAGAAGAGGACAAGGGCTCAAGAAAACTTGTATTTTCCTGGAAAGATATTATCATTCATTGTCCTTTTTTTTTTTTTAATAAACAAAGGAGAGAAGGATAAATATATGGATATAATAATAACTTCCATGAAACATTTTATGAAAGAATTTAATACAATATATATTAATTACTAAATATTTCTTTGAATTAGTGCGTACTGTTGTTAGGCAAATAGTTCTCTAAAAGAGAAATTGTAGCTACTTTTTCAAAAGAAATTATTTTAATAATTTTGCATTTTTGCTTGAAGAATGGAGAACAAAATTGAAAGATTATTATAATTACTGGGCAAACTTGGAAATAAACAAAATAAAATTAGTTAAAACATTATAGCCTCAACCAACTGAAATTTCCACGCACCAGAAAAAAGTCAAAAAGCATAACCCATTTGATTTTTTTTTCTTTCCTTTTGATCTGTTCAACTCAAGTTTAATCTTAAGTTATCCCGAGAAAAAAAAAAAGAAAACCATTTTAAGGTGACGAAAGAAAAAATTTTTCCAAAATGCATGATTTTTGCTTCACAATCCCTTATGGATTGATTCTTGTGGGTGGAGGAGTTTTTGGGTATTTGAGGAAAGGGAGCACAGCATCACTTGGTGGGGGTGTTGGCAGTGGATTGATTCTCATCATTGCTGGATATTTAAGCCTTAAGGCTTTGGAGAAGAGAAAGAACTCTTACCTGGCTTTGGTTCTGGAGACTGGTAACGTTTTCAAACTCTCAACTTTCTAACAAACTTTTGTCTTTTTCTTTTGTTTTATGAATTTTTGGTGGTAAATTTGATCTGCGTTTTTCTTTAATTGCCTTTATGATTTGGTCTTAGGAAATGATGAATTTTGTAGTTTAAAGGTACTAAATTTGATTGTTGCTCAATTGTTGGGATGGAAAAAGTTTTGACTTTTGTAGTTTATGGATCCAAGATTTGATGCTGCAATGGATTTTTCTAATGATAAACTTGATGTGGTTGCTTTGTTTTTGGATTTGTGATGTTGCATTGTGGAAATATCAGTTTGGTTTTTGTATATCCAAAGTGGTGCTATTATGAAACCAGCTTAAACAAGTCTGGGTTTAAATCTCAGCATCTGTAATCTCTTTTATGTTCAGGTTGAAGCGTCCTCGTAAAAGAAAATGCTATTATCTTACTGAAATTGTAAGAAAGTGGTCTTTGTTTTAGCTTTGAAATGGCTTTTCTCAACTATCATGGCTGTAACTGTCTTTTGGTCTTCTTACAGCTATCTGATGCAATAGATTATTAAGAAGCTTTCATCATCTGAAATTCGATATTATGCCTAGATTTTGTGATATAATATTTCAGGACATCTGCCATTATCTAGTCTTAATATACCATTTGAGAAACAAATAGATCATTACAGATAAGCTGATTGTCACTGTAGGTTATGTTCATGGAAGGGAACTTTTATATTGTATATGCTTGATTTTTCAATCATCCCTTTCAATGACAACACAAGTTTGTTCTTTTTACTGATTCATATAGCTTTAAACCAGTTACCGCTGCTGTGTTGACATGGGTCATGGGACAAGGTTATTACCAAACTTCTAAGATTATGCCAGCTGGAATTGTCGCTGGGATCAGGTATGTAGGTCTCCTATTTGAACTTTTTCATTACCTTCATATCACATTATATCATGACTGATAATATACTGCCAAATTTTTTCATCAAAATTTTCTGGCATCACAAGGTCGATCCATATATCAATATAAAATCTAAGCTCATATATGGATAAATATCACAGAAGATTATCAACTTTAGAGTGCCCAGTTATGTGCCTTACAAATATCTCCATTTTTTGGTGCAAAGGAGGCCTCAATGTGGGATAAGGAAAAGGGTTGCAGATGCTAGGATTTGAACGCAGACTAATAGCTCCTTTGCATGGTGTCAATCATCAAATCTCCATGTCCAGTCCATTAACCTATCGCATAATGACTGCATGCTGCATTTCAACTTGTGTAAAAGTCTCCTGATTTTCTGATTCTTTCATGATGATTAAGTTGTTGTGTTCTATCATCTATCTACATTCAACTAGAAACTGATTCTCGGGTCATTAATTCGTATTATTTCCATTTGTGATTCCAAAGTTTTACTGCCTGTCCTTAAATCCTCTGCTGTTTAAAACAAATCCTCTGTTGTTTAAAATAAATCCCTTGTTCCTTGCCTCCTTTTTGCCACCTCTTTTGAATCGAGGACGAGGGATTATTTTAAGTTTCTTTGTTAGTTTGACATTCATTTAAAATATGGAGTGCTACATTTTAAGTTTCTTTGTTAGTTTGACATTCATTCAAAATTTGTAGTGCCACAAACTCACATGCCATTTTATTGCAGTGCTCTTATGACCGGGTTTTACTTGTACAAAATTGCAACCGGTGGCAATCATATTCCAGCCAAGGCTGAATGATAGTGCTGAGAATATTGGCTTCACCAGTTTTAACAGATACGTCAAGATCATTGAAGCTCGGATGCTTGTAATCGAAACTTTAATTTCTTGAATAAGTACTCTGATGCGTGTATGATGCAAAAGATAACCTGTCTTATATGTGAAAAAAACCTGGCTTGTGACCAAAATTATGTTGGTTATAAACAATTTTGTTCTTGTTAAGTGAAAAAAACCTGGCTTGTGACCAAAATTAGGTTGTTTATACACAATTTTCTTGTTAAGTTCAAATTTCTTGTCTTGGAATGATTAATTCACTTAATGTCCTAATGAGATCAGGTTTATAGAGTGAGTTTATTATGCGAATTGTAATATGAATTTGCGTCCTGGTATATTCTCTATGAATTTGCAGACATCCAGGCTTGCCTGGGAACCAGAACTGCAGTGTTCGTTATAGATTCTGCTGAACTTAAATAGGAGATTAGGATTAGTACCTTTTTCTTCAAATTACAAAATGTCGAGTTACTAAAGGAATTTCAAATCCACTTGGAGGCCGTGCTGTGGGAAGGAAATTTTTTATGAATTGATTAGCATGGTGTGATAAGTGTGTTCAGAATAACTCGGAGATGTACTAAACAGAACTCAGAAACTTCTTGTCGCTTAATAAAAAATGCCAAGGAATTTAAAACACTTAATCCCCATATTTTTGCCTAATTTAACAAATCAACGGCGAATTTAAACTTCAGGTTACATGCAATCCCATGGACTCTTTCTAATTGACATCAATCACTACAATTTGTCTACATTAAATAATGCTAATGTTGCTTGAAAATGCCATGAAAATCACTTGATTATAGGGTCAAAGGAAACTTACAAAGTTGGAGCAACAAGAATCTTGCTAAAAAATTCTCTTTGTTTGGTGATGAAAAGGAAATATGAATAATCCAATGATGGATTTAGACAGAAGAAATTGAAAAATGGACGGCGTGTATTACTATGCTAATGGTATATTAAGAGCTAGATTCCACTCCTAAAGCCGACAAAAGATCATCAATAATTTCTTCTTAAATTTCCCCTTCTCAGCCACAGCCTATGAATAAAGAAGAGAAACGAGTTACAAGTGCTTCGATTCGAATCCCAAATTTGTTGAATACCATTTGTCATATATGATCGCATGAATGAATTGAGTTAAGCTCGGACTCAATTTCCTCTGCTTTTAAACATCAGCTATTCCTCTCTCCCACTCCCCTCAGCCATCAGCTACGTTTCTCAGACTCACACCCATGAACACCATCATCACTATTTTCCTGTTTCTTATCCCCATCTTCCTTCTCCTAACCAGGAGAAAACGATCATCAGGAAGGCTTCCTCCTGGGTCCCTAGGACTTCCAATAGTAGGTCAAAGCCTTGAACTTCTCTGGGCCATGCAAGCCAACACTGCAGAGCAATGGCTTCAGAAAAGGATAAGAAAGTATGGTCCTATATCGAAGATTAACCTATTTGGCAAACCATCTGTTTTCATTTATGGTCAGGCTGCAAACAAGTTTGTATTCACCAGTGACAGCAGCACCATTGTTAACCAGCAAGTAAAGTCAATTAGCTCAATTCTGGGTGATCGGTGTCTTCTGGAACTGATTGGTAAAGATCATAAGCGAGTCAGAGATGCTCTTGTGTCATTTTTGAAGCCTGAATCATTGAAGGAGTATGTTGGAAAGATGGATGAAGAAGTCAAGAAGCACCTTGAGATGCATTGGCATGGCAAGCAACAAGTCAAGGTATGTTTATTGAACATATGAGTTATGTTATTCAATACTGAACACTTACCAGTGCCTTAGAAAATCAGATCCTGGAAAATTAGACAACTTGTCTTTGTTTTATTACTTGAGGCTATCTGGATTTGAAACTGATTATTGGAACTAAGAATCCACCACTTTACCAATAGGTCACCAGCTGTTGGCGACAACTTATCATTTCATTATGGAGAATTAGACATTCAATTCTCCTTATCTGTAACTCTCATCTTTGTATATGATGCTTCTTCCTATCCTCGTAGGTGTTACCACTGATGAAAACCCTCACATTCGACATCATCTGCTCTCTTCTATTTGGACTTGGACGAGGCACCAGAAGAGACAAACTTTTCATTGATTTTCAACACATGATAGACGGAATGTGGTCGGTACCAGTTAATCTGCCTTTCACACGCTACAACCGCAGCCTTCAGGCAAGTGCAAGGGCCCAGAAATTGTTGAAAGGTCTCATTGGTGAGAAGAGAGTGGATTTACAGAAGGGTGCTTCTCCTCGCCAAGACCTCATCACTTGTCTGCTTAGCATTCGCAATGAGAAGAATGAACAAGTAATATCTGAGAAGGAGATTATTCACAATGTTAAGCTCATCATGGTTGCTGGACATGACACTTCTTCTGTTCTCCTTACTTTCTTGGTGCGCCTTTTAGCTAATGATCCTGCCATTTATGCAGCTGTTCTTCAAGGTACATATGAACATGATGTTATTTAACATTAAATAGACATGACAATTCATATCTATTTCATGTCTAACTCGTATAAAACACAATAATTGTTGTCAATAAGTCAAACATAAAACATATTTTTCTGTATTTACCAAATTCATACATGACTTTGACTAAAATTTTAAACCCTATCGCTTTCATACTTTTTTTTTATTGTTTTCGTATTATGTCATCATGTATCAGGTCTAACTTTAAGGTCCACAACTTCATAAGATTAACATCAGTTTTTGAATTTGTCAATTCCTTTTTCACCATGTGTGAATGGACTAGGTAATACCCTTACTTGAAAGCCATTGAATCTTACAATTTGGATGATTAAATTTAGTGAAAATGTTGCAGAAAAGGGACTTATGAGATTAGGGTTCTTGTTGATATGTGGTTGCAGAACAAGAAGAGATAGCAAAGAACAAGCCTAATGGGGAGCTTCTGACATGGGAAGACCTGGCCAAGATGAAATACACATGGAGAGTTGCAATGGAAACTCTGAGGCTGTTCCCACCAGTCTTTGGTGGCTTCAGGAAAGCTGTAAAAGATATCGAGTATGGGGGATATCTCATTCCAAAGGACTGGCAAGTAAGTAAAACCATACATTCCTTTCCATTTTCTCAGTATGTCAGATTTTTCTTTTTTATTATTGGAACTAAGAGTCCAACACTTTATGAACAGACAATGCCATTTGTTGGCAGTATTTCAGGTTTAATAGTATCTTACTGATAATTTACTTATTCGTATGAAGATTTTCTGGGTTACGGGCATGACACAAATGGATAACAGCATATTTCCAGAACCATCAAAATTTGATCCGACTAGATTTGAGAATCCAGAATCAATTCCACCTTACTGCTTCATTCCATTCGGAGGGGGACCTCGGATATGTCCAGGATATGAGTTTGCAAGGATTGAAACCCTTGTTTCAATTCATTATTTGGTTACTCGGTTCACTTGGAAGTTACTATCAGACAACTTTTTCAGCAGGGATCCAACGCCTGTTCCAACTAAAGGACTACCAGTTCAAATCAGTCCGAGAAAACTATTGTGATGGTTCACTGAAACTATGATTTTTTGCACTTCAAAGAAACTTGCAAGTTTTCTGTCGCTGATCAAATGATGTGAATTTTAATTTAGTAGAAAGGTTAGTGTGCCTGAAAAATAATTCAAAAAATCTTGAATTTTAGCTCAATTGATACAGGCAATCATCTTCAAAAAATGACATCCAACATATCTGAAGTTCAAATTCTAATACTTACAACCTTTTATCCTCGAGGCACGACCTCATTTCTACAAACAAATAAGGAAAAATAGTGCAAAAATCTTAGAATAATAATCCAAGACAGCTTTCCTAACCATGTTAGAATAAGAGTAAAATCAAACCTATGCTATGTAGCTGTTAAGACTGGTTCTTCCCCAAGTACTCATTGAATGTGAATTATAAAACAAGGAAAATTAAAACCTTACAGCTCCACGTATAAAAACTAGAAGTTCACTAAAAAATATGGCATTTGTAATTCTGTCCTCGTCGATGTTCATTTTCTATCATGTACAACAATTCAATACCTGACATCTGCCACTCCTTGTCTGATTACCATATTTACAAATTGGCCCAAACAATAGATGTACATACTAACAGTAGTGGTTGACCATTGGATAACGACAAATGGCAGAAGCGAAGCTGTCTAGTAGTTTTACAGCCTGGAGTGCTTTGGAGGCATAGAAAGAGTGAGATACTGTTCATTCATATGGGGTATGGATCTGTGGATTATATGCGGCTAATTTCATTCGATAAGGCCCTGGAAACCCTAAATCCTAAACGGATAATTGTCACATAATTCGTTTTCTAGTTACAACACTCTTGGATTTGGAAAAAGAACCCAAATGAGGAGATAGAGCATACACAGTGGAACCAATACCGCCATCATTAATCATCCCAAGAGCTTCCTGCATCAACCAAAAAGGATTTGTTAGTCCTGTGAATCCAAATGTAACAGTAAGATCATAAACATGCCAGTTGTTGCAAGAACTTACATCTAATAAGGTATCAAGGGCATCCATAGCTCGCCCATGTGTCCATGAAAGCAGTCTCTCTTCCTCATCCACGGTCCATGGTCACAGCCTTGATCCTAAGAGAAACAAGTCGAACAAAGGCAATTATTTGCTTTGGGTACTTGTCTGAAAACACAAAACAGAAGTATGACGAGTGTCGCGGGCTATGTGATCATTATAAATCCTTCAAGTCGCGTTCTCGCGAGCTCTTTTTGGCTCTGATATTGTAAAGTCACACGCAACATTTTCAAATTCAATAGAAAGGAACCCAACTCCTATTATATCTTAGCTCACAAATTTCAGTGTGGCCCTGAACACCCATCCATGCCCGCAGACCCTCGAATTCACATAAGGGCATGCAACCTCGGTTCTTATGAGAATGTCTCAATCTAGCATAGTGAGAATCCGACACTATGTCGTACGCAACATACATAAGGTCTCATGCCTTGAACCCCAAAGCACAATACAAATGCTAGTCAATAGCCAGCCCGAAGCCACACTAGGCTCATTTCATCCCAAGAAACTCATATCTTAGAGTCTCAGCCTTTAGTCTCATTTTAAGCTGTCTGCACGCATGATGAACACCCGACATCATGTCCGTTTCACGTCATGGAACTCGGATGTACTACCTCAGCTGCAGCACACCTCAACTGAATGGTCGCAAGGGTCTAGCAGCGTGCCTTCCTGCTAGCCCGCTCATCTCTCAGATGGTGCCTCTTCTACGTAAACACCATCTTATGATTTTTTGTTACTCATAGATCCGGCTCAAAGAAGGGAAACCGAGATACATAGCAAATGCTACCATCTAACCCCACAATTTAATGCAGGGGCATGATACGAGGTCCATCGGCTTTAACTGTCTCCGAGTTTATTATAACTCGAAGAGATACCTTGCCACACTCATGACTCAACAATACCCGCCAACTTAGACACTATATGTGCCTAAGAATAACTCACTTTAGACTAAAAAGGCCTTGCCTACCTGCTTTTTGAGGAGTTGGTAGAGAACTAACACCAAACATCCCCTATAGCTCTTTAGAGATTTCCCAGCAATACTAACAGGAACTGTTAAATTGTCTGAAATGGGGCACTTTTCTCTTCAGTTATTTCAAAGCCTTTTTCAGCTAATTCAGGGCCCAGTGACCTATCTCTGCCATCATGATTCTCAAATTCTACTCATCGCTCCATCAACCCACTTGAGAGTCGATGCATACGGCTTCGACCGATAGCACCCGACTGGCTACCAAGCTCCAAGGCGTCCGCACTTGCCTACCCATCTTGGGACTAGAGTACAAATTGGCTGCACACTCAATCAGCTATATGCTCTCAGACTTACACCGCCCACCCACTGCTCTAAGACCATTGTCCCAATCATAAAGCCTCATCCGCTGCTCAGCTTAGGGTCAGCGGCAGGACCAAGGCACACCAAGACCTGACCATGACATCAAGCCTATGCTAGCTCCAGAATTTTATTATGGTCTTTCTTCGACGCAGTTGAACAGATCAAGCAAGGTTTTTCTTTCCAGCAGAAATCACCTCAAATCCACTACCCAATCAAGCAGAAAGTGTAAAAATTTGTAAAGGTTGCATAAGACAAGTCCATTACAGACCCTGCAATAGCACGTCAGGCTTGCAAGCTGCAATAATGGCACTAACAACTCAACATAGGTTTAAGAAACAATGTTGCTAAAAACAAAGCAAAACCAATCTTTCCTCGCGCTCGAAGGAAAAAAGGAACGTGATCAGTAATTATAGCACGCAATAGCTTCACAATCATGTTTTCGTTTTTATGAAGAAATTTGCAGAGTTCCTGCAGATTGATCAAACCTCCATTAAGTGGCCTAGTCAATATCTCAACAATTTGCACCCTGTTTAGCTAAGCACCAAAACCCCATTATAAGCACCCTACCAAGTCCTTAAATAAATTTCTTCTGTTAAAACTTCGAAATGGATAATAAAAAGAAATTAAAAAACTCTAAAAAAGATATTTTAGAGACCATGAATTTATGTATCATACTAAAAAAAAAAGTTTGCAGGTGCATTATCCATAATTAAATAAATAAATTTCAGTCTGAAATTATGCATAAAAAATATCCAATGCTATCATACTTACATTCCATAATGCAACAAAGCAAAATTAGCTGAAAAATTAAAAAACTTGCATCAAAACAAAATGCTCAAAAAGATAAAACAACTAAACAGATTAAGACAATTCTACAAATATACCAAAAAGAAAAAAAAAAGTAATAATGCTCGTGACATTGCATTAAATAGATAAAATAAAATCAATTTAAGCTAAAAATAAAAAAAGAAAACTTGAAAACAAAAGAAAATGCTCCAGTTAAATTATTTTCCATGAAAGAGATGATTTTGGATACCAACCAAGTTCATAATAGAAATCACCTATCTCTACAAGCTCTGCCCAAAATCCAAGCTAAAGGAACCACTCTCACTTTAGCAGAATTCGATAAATTGTAACCAAAAATATTTTTTATGAATATCATTTTTTTTTCAAAAAAATAAAAATTAGAAAACAAAAAATATTAAAAATAATAAAAAATTGAAAGTGAATTTTTTTAAACCTTGTGTCTTCGAGCGAATTATTCGATTTGAGACCGAAAAGTAGTCAGCTGTTTATCATGAGATTGGTTTTTTTCTTGTCTACATTCTATCGGCCAAATGCTATAACCATCATGTTAATAAAAAGAAAAAATTATGCCAAAAAATACTGGTTATTATAACTGTTTGGGCCTAAATTATGGGATATGATTTAGTATATGGGCCAAAAACTATTATTTATAAATTAATAAAATAAAAATGCTAGGCCAAAATTATAAGTTATAAATTAGTATTCAATTAAAGGGTATAATCGAAAGATTAATAAAAAAAAAAGTCAAGCTAAAGATTATAGCTTATAAATTATTATTTTGACCAAAAATTATAAACAATAAATTAATAAAAAAATTGAGCCAAAATTATAAGTTTTAGGTCACTAATTAAGCCAAAAGCTATATCTGATAAAATAAAAAAAATGGACTAAATGCTATACCATCGATATGTTTCAGTTACACTAAAATATAATATACCTAAGAATATTTTTCATACCAAATGGTTGTTTTCATTGGTTTTAGTTGATTTTGATGAATTTTGATAGATTAATTTGTTTCAACTTATACATAAATGTAAAACATGTTTTTATAATTTTTAATTTATTTTTTTGTTGTTTAACTATTTTTTAATCAAATAAAAATAAAAGTAATTATAAAATAACCTTTAAAAGTTGAGTTTTTTTTATTTTTTTATTGTAAATTTTTTTTATACTTAATTTTTTGAAACTAAAGTTTATAAATATTTCAATCTTTTTTAAGAAAGTAATTATACTCATTTTCTAAAGTTTAACAATCGTAAAATTAAGGTTTATTTTTTCCTCTTTGTTTTTATTTTAATATTTGTTTAAAGAATACTTATGTAAATATCATAAAATTAGATTAAATATTTAAAAATATTATGAAATATTTATGATATTATTTTTATATTTATTAACTTATTTACTTAACTTTTAAAGATATTAAATATTTATTTTATATATTATTAGTAGTATTATTATAATGTACAAATTCATATATATTTACAAATATATTTATACTAAATCGAAAAATCCAAAATAATATACCAAAACCATTGATATCAATACATACCATATATATATATATATATATATATATAAACCGAAATATTATCCAATACGGAATTAATAACTTTGCTCCTAGGGCCGTCATTAGTGACGAGCGGACCCATTTCTGCAAAAAATACTTGTTGCTCTTTTGGCAAAATATGAGGTTAGCCACAAGGTTGCTATGGCTACCACCTAAGGACAAGTGGCCAAGTAAAGATTTCAAATAGGAAAATCAAGAGGATTTTAGAAAAAACGATGAATCCCCACGGAAAGATTGGTTCAAAAGGTTAGATGATGCAATCAGGTTCTAAGAACTGCTTTCAAAACTCCTATAGGAATGTTACGGTACCAGTTGCTATTTAAAAAAAATTGTCGTCTGCCAGTCGAGCTGGAACATATAGCTTTTTTGGCCATAAAAAAACAGAACTTCAATGTAAATGCAGCAGGTAAGAAGAGATTATTACAACTCAATGAGCTTGATGAATTCAGATTACAAGCTTATGAAAGTTCCAGGCTTTAAACGGATAAGACAAAGAAATGGCATGACAAGAAAATTTTCGAAATGAGCTTCGAGCCAGGACAGCAAGTGTTGCTTTTTAAATCCCACTTGAAGCTATTTTTAGGTTAGCTGAAATGTAGATGGTCTGGTCCTTATGTGGTCACTCAAGTATTTCACCATAGTGTCATTGAGATCATGGATGAAAATGTTAAAGAGCCCTTTAAGGTGAACAGTCAAAGGATGAAGCACTACTTTGGAGGAGCTGTGGATCAGCTGAAATCTGTCATTCAGCTCTTTGATCCAGTTCAAGTTTGAACTTTAAAGCTTCTCACCCACACGTCCTTTTTCATTTTCTTTTAGGCAAAAATGAATGCTCCAGAATCTTTCTTTCAATAATAGATTAGACTGTTACATACATTGTTGTGTATATAATCAATCAACCAAAACTATTTATACAACAGATTCTTTTGTAAATATCAGAAGACAATATCCAAGATGTAAACTGAGAATCATATGACTCAAAAGAACCTATATTTCTATGAATTTCTGTGTGACTATCTGTATTTGTCTATCTGCATTTCAGCAGTATCAAAATTGATGAAGCGATTAAAATGGTGAAGATAAATATCTAGCCATCCTCGGTAGCGATTCAGTTGTCGGTTCGAAAAATCAATGGTCAGTTATGATGCTATCCCTGTGGCTTCCTTTGGTATCAAAAACAGAAGCATGATTGGAATGAGAGTGCAGAAGAGTTGAATAGTGATGCCTAAAAGAAGGTTGTCAAAAGATCCTGAAGAGATGTTCAAGATTGATGCCAATCCAGCACCTGCAAATGATCCTACGGTGGACCCAAAGTTGTTTATTGACATGAAGAGAGCAAATAGAGTTCCCTCGATTCCTGGTGGGCATAGCTGTCCAGACAAGATCAAGAATGGCATGAACCTGCATTCACATGGAATAAGTGGAAGAGCATGAAGTAAGATTCACACGGATAGGTTGGACCAACAAGCATATAGAATCCAAAACAAAGAAAAAGGCATGTGCCTTTCGCACCTGACTAAGAATTTCATGTGTAACATTCTCATATTAATGATGAATTATCAAAAGAAAATGTTTAACATACTTGAGTTGGTTAATGGCATCAGAGAGTGCAGATCCACAAAGCACCAAGTTCTTGTCTGATACTCCAAAGGCAACATTGGTTTGAGACACCAAAACAATATCAAAGAGATTCAAGAAAGCCAAACCAATATGAGCCAACCTGCATTATGTTTGCAGAATAGGAGATACAAATTGATCACATTATTCTGAAGAATGAAAAATATTTGCCAAATGAGTTTTAAGCTGAACTACCAAGTACTTACATGAGAATTCTGCGCAACTTCATTTTCTTCAAGTACTGATTATAAGTAAATGTCCCTATCATGAGGCCTAACCATCCAACAACTCGTGCAGTCCCCAAAAAAGATGCTTCCAACTTCAAGAACTCTGTCTGGTAGTAGAACATGACAGTCGAAAGGTTTGGAACAGTGACGTGTGCTAAGAAAAACCAAGCCATTGATCTTGAGTTCCCAGAGGCAAATTAAATCAAAAGAAAACATGATCAGAAGGGAAAAAATATTTGTAAAATAGAAATTTGCCACAATATCAAACAGCAGTGTCAACTAGGATAACACCTAAGAACGAGTACTGATTATTCACTGCTGGATAGGCATAGGCATATTTAAATGCTGTTTTAAATCTGCATCTATAGACAAAGAGCTGAAACCACCACATAAGTGGACCAACATTAGTGCAGACTATTCTAGACCATAAGCCATTTGAGTAATCATCTCAAATGGTTGCCTTGGAAATGCAAAGCACTTCATAACCTTAAGCTGACACTACTTTTAACTCTCAGTACCAGAAAGTAAGTTACTATCTACCTCAAAATGATTGGCTGTTTAAAAGCACAGCACAAACTGTAAGTGGCATCTTTCAGAGACAGGAACCACTGTAATGCCAGGGACTTGCCCTTCCCAGGACTCTGCGTCTCTACTTTTCTGGGCATAAATTGTGTCTTTTTGCTTTTCTTTTTGCTCTTCTTTCTTTTTCTGGCACCAAAGTTGGATTTCTTTTCCAAAGAACTGTCTTCGTCCAAATTGTTAGTCTTCCCGTTCAAAAGATGGGAATCACTCAAATTAGAGAATTCAGACAAAAGTTCACCACCGATAGGATTCTCTTGAACCAAACCACAAGAAAATAACTGTACGGCTGGAAGTGCAGAGAAAAGAAGAAAAATAATATCTATCTCTAGGTTGGCTAATGCATATCCTCCTAGCAAACTCCCACATACTCCACCAAAAGCCATTGCTAACCATGATATTGACTGAAGGTCTCCAGCAAATAAGGCCCTGATCAAAATTTGTTTCAAATTTATTGGTTATTTGTTCTTCAAAATACATAAAAATTCATGCAAATAAGTGGTTGTGGAAAACATAGAAGAGTTTATCACACAGTAATGGGAAGTAAACTTGATAGATGAACATACTTCTCACATCTTACAGCCTCAGCGATCATTGCATCAATCACAACATCTGCCATTGCGGATCCCAGGTTTTGTACCGTTAATAGGATTATGAGGTGCCACATGGAACTCCTTGAGGTTTCATTTACGCCCAGAATAAGCCATGGCACAAGAGACATCACAGTGGCAATCACCAAGTACGGAATCCTTTTTTTCCCTTTAATGGGAATGCAGTCAGACAAAATCCTGCATGTGGAAACAGAGTATGGCTCCATCAAACAACCAAGAGATAGTATAACGCTAAAAGGGTAGTTTTTTTGTCAGCATATATTCGTCAGCTAGATAGTTTTCATCATGTTCTATTAAGGCTTTGTATGGATTACATAAAAAATAACATCATTGTATGACATCTACAAGAGCCATCACTCCCTCTCATGTGCCATAAGATATTTTGCCAGAAGAGATTCTTTCTCTATGCCTATGTTATCATGCAAAAGATTGGCTTATCAGCAATTTATATATTATCCACATTGATTTGGAATCTCAACATGTCTTTTTCTCAATAAGTAAATCTACCACAATTATGTCTTTTTCTCAACCAGGCACAAGAATGATGCATACCCATATATAGGCTTTATGCTCCACGGGAAAAATGCTATTGAAAACACAAATTGGGAAGCTGAGGGTGACAACTTAAGCCTATCCTTCATCTGGTAGGAAACTGCTGTCCATACAAATGATCTGAAACCCTGTACTTACACATCAAGAAGTTACTTTAGATCCAAAAGCACGATAATAAAAGGGGCAAAACGGAACATTAATAGGAATTGCAAGAACATGGAGTTTGGAATTAGTTGGAAACTCGCAACAAAACAATGAGCTTGCTTCCCTATAAAAGCTTCTGCAGTAGATATTCTTGAGGACCTTGAATCACACAAATTCATATTAACAAAGTCTTAGGGAAATCAAAGTGCCTGTTTTTATAGTACCAAGGAGCCTTGGAATAAGAAGAATGGAGTTACAGGTACTAGGAATTGAACCCTGAATGCCACCTTTTAAGAATCACGGCATGAACCAAGTGAGCTAAACTTTGGATCCTAAGGGCCTAAGGGGTTGTTTCTACTTAATTAAAAACCATTTAAACTTATAGACCAAATTTTGAATATGAAACTCATAGAAAAGACAAAGCTTCCCAATAATATAGTTTGACACTTGACAAAGATCTCATTCATCAAAATTTAACATTAATCAAACATCAACATCAACAAATTTTTTGCTTTCAAATACCCAAAAGAGCCATTTTTAATAAAAAAAAATTGAAAAAAATGCAAATGCAAAATCAAGTTGTCATTTATAGCATCCAAATCCAATATTCTGTAATCAACAACTTCTTTAAGAAAAAACCAAGTTTGGAATGAAACCCAACAAGAAATCAATAAAAACCAGAATACCCAGAAGCCCAAAGGAATGAAATTTCACATCTTTAGGCATCCCATGAATCAAACTAAGAAAAAAAGAAAGAAAGAGAAAGAATTGGGGAACCTGGGTGAAGTAAATTAGACAAACAAGCCACAAAAACGCCAATCCAAATGCCGTTTTGAGCTGCTTTATCCATTCTATCATCTTTCAAAAATAAATCAAAAATTTTTAAAAGAAAAAACTTTGAATTTCTCTCCCTCTTTTCTTCTGTTTCTGTGGATCACCAACGTTCTTTGATTTTTTTTTTTTATTCTGTCTTTTCTAACGGTTTCTTTGCAGTTAATGGTGATATGACTTTTATATTTATGGTTCGTTGGAGTCTACTACGTAGTTGTCGGGGATATTTTTGTCAGTTAGGGAATAAAGTAGTGAACACGTTTCCGGTCCTACCAAGTCCCGCCACGTAAGCAACTTGTCCCGACAAAGTTGCCATCAGTATTTATCAAGGTCACAGGCATGTTACGCGTTTAGTCTTTGACTGTCGTAGTGAATTGTATCTTCGCAACTCAACCTTTTTCTTTTTCTTCCTGGACAAAAATAAAGTGGTTTATTTAATTAATAAATTATAAAATATCATTTATAATTATTTATGAAATTTAATAAGTGAACAAAAAATTTAAATTTTTTCATAAATTATTTATCAAATATTTTATTTATTAATATAGATAAATTAATTAAAATTTTTTATTATATTTATAATTTATTTATTTATTTAATAAATTTTAAAATATTATTCATAATTATTTATTAAATATTATATATAAATATAAACAAATAAAAATAAAATATATTCATCGAATTTGATAATAATTAAATTTAATAATTTAAAATATATAATAATATGAAAATAAAATATAAAAATAATATGATTTAAAATTTTAATAATAAATATATAAATTTAATAAAATTAAAAAATATATTTTATATTTTTTATATTAATATAAATTATAATACCTAATCTTTTATATAAAATTTTATATAAATAAATAAATTTAAATATTTTATTACTGTCGTAACGGTTTTGTGTCCGTCCGACGAATTTGAAAACTAATAAAAAACTAACGGAGTCGTCACCAATCTTTTTTGACTAGGTGCGATTGGCCACCTACTAAAACATATCATTTTAATAAAATTTTAAAATTAATTAAAATTTATTAAAAAGATAATTTTACGGTCTGTGAAACAGTCTAGGTTCGGGACTCGGTTACGCGTGGGAAAAGATTAGCACCCCTACAACGCCCATTAAAAACGGTACCAATTAACAACATGTTATCTTTTGATTTTGATGAAAATAGTCTAATTTTCAGTGTTCGAAAAATAATTTCCTTGATTTTTTATTTATATAAAAAAAAATTATTCTCGAGAAAAATAAATCGAAACCTTTTTATTGAAATAATTCTTAAAATGTTCCAGTACGTTGGTAACATTAACAGAACTTTTTCTCACCCAGAGATTTCTTAAAGCATCTCTATTCGAAATACTTTTAGAATCTCATCTTTAGGAGGTCTAAATTTACTTTTCGTAAAAAATTATGTCATGTATGCAATGCAAATAATAACATGTTGATGCACACATTTTATTCTTTTTCAAAAATTTTATTAATTGTTTTATTAATATTCTTATTGAAATTTTGAAGAAAAAGGAATTTAATTATATTGAAGATTTTCTATAAATATTTCAATATGCTGGTAATATTTTATAAAAAATCTTCTAAGCAAAAAATCTTCATCAAAAAGATGAATTGATTTGTGGATATAATTCTGGTAAGTTCAAACCGAACGAAATCAATTATATTATATTTGAAAAAGAATTATTAGCCATAAAAAATGGTGTACAGCGATTCCACATCTATTTAGCCCCGAAATTCTTTGTTATCCGAACAGATAACCAAGCAGTCAAAAACTTTTTCCAAAATAGAAAGCTTTCTGATAATCCCAGGCGAATTAGGTGATACAATTTTCTTTGTTCTTATCATTTTCAGATAGAGTTCATCAACGAAGACAAAATCTCCTTGCAGACTACCTAAGTAGACCTCATGGATCGGGAAAAACATCCAATCCATGATACTGGTGGATGGAGAACTGTAAAGAAGAAATCAGGTAAAAAATCTTCTTCTTCTTCCTCTTCTACTCCTTCTTCTCCAAAACCCCAGATCTCTACAAATCCTAACCAAGGATTTAACTTTTACAATAATCCTAACCAAGGATTATATCTCTACCAACAACCTCTTTATCGACCCCATTTCATGAGAATTCAACCAGAATACTCACAGTTTGCTCAAGATCCAAATGACTGGACTCCTATGAGTTATTCTCAAATTGTTTCTTCTACAGAACAACTGTTAACAAGAACAAATTTCACATTCTCTAACACAGAGATAAAAGATTTTTACAATCCTGGATTTGAACCACAAGTCTATAGTTTGCTAAATAAAGTTTGGAAATCCCATCTCTCAGAAAATAAAACTAGCTTTCGAAAAGGGATGACCAACTTAGCTGAGTTCTTAGTCAAACAGGCTAAAGAATTTCAGAATTTTAAAGAAATAGCTTTCCAAAGTCTTCTATCAACAAATCTGCTAAAACAGCAAGATATTGATTTCTTTGCTTTGGAAGAAAATCAGTATAGTCTTCAAGAGATAAACAATTTTTTGAATCTCTGTGAATATTTTGAAAAAGATAATTTTAATTCTTCTAAGCTAAACAAGCTAAAAAGAATCCTTCTCTTTGAAAAAGCTGCGGTGTTCTTAACTCCATAACTATTCCAGCAAATTAATTTTTCTATTTTACAGTCAACAGAAACACTGTTGGTTGAAAAGTTTTCAGAGTATTATACCTCTACTTATATGTATAATACATCTTTTGGTGAGTATATACCTAAATTAAAGTTTCGACTTGACAACGAAAGTTTTGATATAAAAAGTATTGAACTTGGTTTAGTTGGACAAATAACTGTACAAAATTATTCTTTTCACCTTTTAAAAGATTTTCCAGCTTTTATAAAGCAACGCTTTTTTGAATGTATCAAATGGTCAAAACACATTTTTTACGTTCACTTTACTATATACAGTTTTTTGGGTAACTTTCAACGAGAAAGATTTTACCAACCCTATCAAATATGGGAATTTGATACCGTATCTGGTGGATACTTTCTACAACCCTATGATATACTTGATCCACCCACAGACCATATCGAATTCTCTAATGATTTAACCAAAATCATCTCTAAATATACCAAACCCAACTCCTATCATTTTCAAACCGGAACTGACCTTATGGATAAAGTAAAATTCTTTTTCCATTTAGCCATCAAATAAGACTATTCCAAAATAGCCTGTTGGATCGATGGTAGACGCATTTTTGTTAAAAGATTTCTTGAACCACATGAAGATCTTGATATCGAAAATGCCCCAGAAGCAATAGAGCTTTTGGATAAACTATCTAAAATGGAAGATCTGGATCATCCAATCGATCTTCTATATCAGTATCAAGAAGGATGGCAAATGTAGAACAAATCACATTCAAGATCTCCACACTTACCCCAGTCCCTTAACGCACTGGATGAAGAATTTCATAACTTAACCAATGCTATGGAAGGATAAACTGTGCAAATTCTAATCAAGGATAAGCCAAGACAGATAGCCGACACAAAAAGATAAATTCATTCGGCGTCAAAGACTAGCAGACAGAAAACACTGTAGCAAGTCACTGTAGCGGTACTGTAGAGAAAAATTCTACTGTACACTGTAGCGGGCAACTGTACAGATATTGTTCATAGGATAGAATTTTTCTATTTAAAGAAGTTCATTGTAAAGTTTTAGAAGAACTTCGACACTCTCTCTCTCTTACACTTTCTCTCTCTCTCATCTCCTTTCATTTTCTAATCCATATATAGATATAGCTTTTGTAAATCTTTTATACAATAGATCTTTTTCGTACCCCCTTTGTAAATGGTATCAGAGCTTAGTCTTGTATAAAAGTTTGCTAAAGCTTGTATTGCTGGTTCAACAATAAAAATCTACTTGTTATTCATCTTGTAAGATTTTCTTTACTCTTACTTGCATCTTCTGCATAAGCTCTTTGTTTCAAAGCTCATACGTGCATATCTGAGTGGATAGCTGACTTTTGTGGCCTGAATTGCCTTTTGTTGCTAGCGTTTCAAAACAGCACAATGGTTTTATATCGTTTAAGGCAATAGGTATATTTTTTGCCTTTAGGTTAACAATGGTTTCTTTACCATCGATACCTACTATTATTATCGGATGCTTCATAGGTTGCCATTTGGTTGACGACAAAGCATTAGGTCGACAGCTAGAGATTGTTGCTCCTGTGTCAATCAAGATATTCAAACTATAGGGTTTATAGTTTTAAAAATAAAAATAACCTTCAACATAAGTATAATATCTTACTTTGTTAGCAAAAGATATTATTTCTTTATAAATACGAAAATTATTTATAGAATGAAACATTTTAATATCTTCATTTTTAGGTTTTCTAAAAGAAGAAGTATGTGAATTAATCATAGAATTAACAGAATGATAATGAGTTTGATTATCAACTGTACCTTGCTGAGATGGATTATCTCCTGTAAAAATTAGAATTTGAGCAGTATCAGTAGTACCTGTTTGGCGCATACTATTTGCTCGTTTGAGGGTTTCTGTACTGTTGGTACCTTGAAATCCTGAAAAAGAACTTCGATATGGAGTACAAAAAGATTGGTTACTAGTTATACTCTCGATATCATCATCTGGTTGATGTTCAAAAACATTTACTGGGGGTAAAACCAGGTTTGGATTAAAACTGGTTGTTTCATTTGGATTTTTGAAGTAAAGATTTTTTTCGGATGAGAAAAATTCTAAACTTGAAGCTTTCTGTTTTTCAGAAGTAGTAGTAAGATCTTCGAGACACCATCTTTTTGGGATTGATAAGTCTGCGAGATTTACTAATCGAGGTTTAATTTCTAAATCAAAAGAGTTTGGTTCAAAAATTTTAATAATATTAGAATCTACTGGTTTGATAGAAGTATTAGTAGTATTTGTAAATTCATAAACCGCTGACCAGTTGATTGAAAGATCATGCGATGTTGATTCGAAATCAGAATTGAGTATTTTGATTCGAAGACATAAACATTTTTTAATGTTTTCATCAAAAATAGAAATAAAATAGTTTGGTTTAACTTTAAATAAAACTACTCCTGCTGTTAAATTGGATTGGATTCCTCCGATTACAGCATTAGCAGGGTTTTAAAAACGGTGATCCATTAAAATAGCTATTATGGGAATATCCTTTGTGGATAAAAATAGTGGTTTAATGGTGATCAAAATCATTCCAATATGGATGTATTTGACCTTTAGGTATTTAGAAAAAAAATTGTTTATTTTCTTTTTAGTAAAGAGAGAAATTTCTACTGAGCATTGTTTAGTGTCAGTAGCGACAGTATCACCTGATAGTTT